CTTATATTATTATTAATTAATAACATATTGAAATTATATTATTCATATAAATTTTTTTTAAATGTACAGAAAGTTATAGTTATATTGCTAAATGACATCAAGTAATGTTAGATAATCATATACACATATAAAATTTCATGACACAACAAAATTTAATTTATTATGAAGGTTCTCTTTTTCTGAGATTGCTTTACATTTCCATTTTACTGCCTAAATAGTATAGAAGAATAACATGTAGGAATCAAAGTAGATTTTTGTATCTTTCAATGTGATATACTGTATAGATTTTAATCTTAAGTAATTTATTTACATTTTATACTGTGCATAAAGTACTTAATGTTATGATTTACTATACAGAACAATCGCACTAAGAAAAATATTAATTTGCAAGCAAATAAATAATAAATTTAAGCAAAAAAAAAAAAAATGAAGTGCAATTTAATTTGTTTGATGTTATTATTATAATTATGATAAAATTTTAACCAAATTTTCTAAAATATAATGATCATTTATAATTATTTTGATTATTTTAATAATCTTATGATTCTAATATATAAATGTTTTATAAACATTTTTATTTGGAATCAGTTGCTTGCAAATGTTTATTATCAAGTACAAAATTTATTTATATTTAAAATATATTCTGGAAGTTATAAACTACAGAAAAACTATTTATTTTATATATAATCTTCTAATTTATGAGGCTAATCATAAAACATTTAGGCAGCAATAAATATATGATGGTAACATAATCTTTAGAATTATTGTAATACTTTTTAGTGTGATAATAAAAAACGTTATATCATAATATAGAAACGTTTCTTAATTTTTTATTTACCATAAATATATATAAATATAATTATTATTTTTTCAAATATAGAATAATCTAATTATTCATAGTGAAAACTCATATTTGATTTGTTTAATAATTTTAAAAAATTAAAGATTGTTGTTAATTAGTTTTGTGCAATATTTCTCGATTTTACGACGAAATTTAGTGCTTAATAATTATCTTTAGTTATTGAATATATAATATATATGTAATATGTTTAATATGTTATGAAACTTCAAAGTCCAATATATTTTACTAAAACAATGTAATGAAGTAATGTGTTGAAATAGTGATTAACGAATTTTTTTTGAATATTTGAATTATTAAAAATTTATAATATAACCTTATATATAACTATATACGTATCATAGCAGTATTATATGAAAATATATAAATTATTTTTTAAATTATTTTAATAATAAATAAAAATATTAATGATATAATATTATGAAATACTTTATCCATGTTTTTTCGCTTCAAACTTTGAACATATAATTAGTGTATTTTAATCAATCAACATAATCTATTTTATTAAAGTATATTATATATATATATATGTAATTTTCAAAGAAATAGCATTATTTTTGTAATATTTTTATAATGTTATATGTTTTTTATCACTTTAATCGCATTTCAACATATAAAGTTTTAACGAAATCCAAAGTATTTCGTTCTAACCTTTTGTTACTCACATGTAAAAAATCAGGTAAAACAAATGAAAAGAGATTAACTGTTTATAAACATTGTGATATCATCATAGCTTAATTATTATATTCTAATTTTAGATGGCATGATTGTTACAATTGGTGATGTTTCAAAACCAGTGAAATCGCCACAGAAACCTGAATATGTACCTAAAAAATATTGTAAGTTAATTATATTATTTTTTAATATCATTTCTCTTGAAATAAAGTAACATAATAATAATTTTTATTAAAATAGTATTAAATACATCTACTCAAGAAGGAGATGCATCTATGTTAAAACATTTAAAATGGATGCTTCAAAAGGATGTTTTATCTCAAGATATTTTTTTAATTGGTGGACCAGGAACTAGACGTAGAAAATTAGCTCTTGCTTTTCTTGAAATCACAGATCGCGAGGTAGAATTTATTGCACTTTCAAGAGATACAACAGAAGCAGATTTGAAACAACGAAGAGAAATTAAAAGTGGTACTGCTTATTATCATGATCAAAGTGCTGTAAGGGCTGCAACAAATGGAAGAATTCTCATTATTGAAGGTGTAGAAAAAGCTGAAAGAAATGTTCTTCCTGTTTTAAATAATTTATTAGAAAATCGTGAAATGCATTTAGAAGATGGAAGATTTCTTGTTCCTGCATCACGTTATGATAAGTTATTAGAGGTATTAATGTTTTTATGTTGATTTTTTATTATTTAATTTTATATTATTATTTATCAATTGATTTTATAAATTTACATAAAATATATATTAGACATACAGTCAAGAGGAATTAGATAATTGGAGACTTGTTAGAGTCAGTGAAGATTTTAGAGTTATTGCATTAGGTATGCCAGCACCAAGATATCCTGGACACCCACTTGATCCTCCTTTAAGATCTAGATTTCAAGCCAGACATATTCCACCTCCAAGTTTTAAGGTAAGTAATTTAAATATTATTATATTTATATTTAATTAATTATAATACTATATATTTTATTATTTTTGATCTAAAATTTTAATTCCTTTTTAAAAAGAATACATTTTAAAAATTAATAGTAGAATATAAAATAATAACTTAATAGGAAAAAAACATATATTTTATATATATTTATTTCTACAAAATTGCAAAATAATTTTTAAATAATATTTTAAATAATAATATAAGTAATGATATTTTAAATAATTACAAAGATAATTTTATATTTTATTAATTTTTTCATTAAATTATATTTGAAAAAATATTCATCATTATATTAAAAAAAAATAATATGTTACATAATATAGAACATATAACTTTTACAGAAAATCATTTACTTAATAAAAACAATGAAAATTATTAGGTTTTAATTCAAATTCTTTCTGAATGTATATTTACATATTATATATCACTTACTAGCAATATGGAAATTTCCAAGTTCGTAAGTTCTAAGTTTCATGTGACAACGTTCAGTAATTACCGGCGCGGCTCGGAGGAGATCATGGCGTGTGTAATTTGCTAAAGTTTTACCTGATTTATGCGACGACGTATCGTTAGACATAGGAGGTCGCACAAACCCCTCCAGTCGTTCATCCCTTCCGGTGCCGGTTTCCTTCCTATATAAACTGTTCGTAGCTGCGCTATGGTCACAGTCATCGCAGTTTAGATCGCGTGTCGCGAAAACAGTGGAATCTTATTTGTCCTCCTGTTCAACTTAGAGTCAATATGTCGGAATTCGGTCGAATGACAGACGTATTCGACACACGGTGTTACTGAAGCTACGAAGAATTATAGACGATCAAGATTTATATATGAAAAAAACGTGAAAATACAAAATGTTTTTTTTTATAATTAAATAGTATTAAAATAAAGAACATAAGAGATCATTTAATATTTGTTAAAAAAATAAATGTTATATATTATTTATATATAAATTACTAGTGTTAATGTACTTTTGAAAATAATTAATATTTTATAAATACATATTTCTATCTGTATATTATTAATAATTGAGAAATGCCAGCTATTTGGTCATCATCAGAAAGACCAATATCTGTTCGTACAATTTGGGTGGACGGTATTCGACACGCGATCTTATCACCCGATGATCCATTAATCCATTCTGAATCACGTCGACGTTCTCGTGTATCGAGGAATAAAACTTACTCAACGGAGTATCAACAGTTGGAATCGAGGCTGGATCGATTGAATAATTGTTTCACAAACTTGCAGATGGTAGTTAAGAAGAATCTTTCAGAGAGCAAAACAACGTCTTCTCAGATGTATCGAAAACTATCCGCACCTCCTTGTTCTAGGATGTCAACTAGTACATCTGATACTAATATTTTAGAGTCTCTTTTAAATGATAATAAAAAAATAAAAAAAATAATGGTTGTCATAAAGCAATAAAAGAAAATTCAAACTTTTTCATTGATAATCATTTTTTTAAAAATGATATCGATAGAGGAAAAACGTCAAAATCTGAGCCAGATTTTAAATTGAATATAACGGAATGCAAAAATGTCGAGGAAACATCCGATGTTTTTTGGAATCCATTATTTGAAAGAGTTCTTCAGTGGTTGGATTTCTCTGGAAGAACTCAAAACTTTAAGAATGATTTTGAAGATCATTTTACGGAAAGAATAATAGATGAGGAGGAACAAAAATGGAGCCTTACCAAGAAGAGAATACCTCATTTGAAACGTGATTATTTCGAGGAGAAAGAAAAAATAACGATGACAAATCATAAATTACACATAGAATCTAATTTGGAAAATTTTAAAAAAGAAGAAAATAAAATAGCACAAAATCGATTACTTAAGATAAAGAATACGAAGGAAGAGATTCAAGAATTTAACGAGACTTTAAACAGTGGAGAGACATTTATTAAGTCTAACGAAGAAGAACTGGAAAATAAAATGAAAGAAAAAGCATCATCAACGATAATGTCATCTCCTGGCCGATTGAAATTGCATATAGTAATACCGAATCTAATTTACAAAGAAAACATGTCTTCGCAAGAATCGTTAATAGATGATCAAAAATAATAGTTAATCAATCATATCATTATATATTAACTGTTGTGTAATTTACATCAGATCTTTTTAACATCTCTTATTACAATGTCTTTTAAAATGCTGATGAAAATTATTTTCTGCTGTAAAATTTTAGCAAGAATTTTATATAGTATGTGTTTTAATCACTATTTGAATATTAATCACAAGTGATAAAATTTAATATTTTTAAAGATAAAAATTTATCTTTAATATTCTCTTAATACTCTTAATACTCACATCACTTAAAGGTAATCATCTTTATCATCTACTATCTTTTCTTTTTTATTAAAAAATCTAAGTTCAATTTATTAAATTTTTTTTATTTTTTCTTAAAAATACTTTAATGCTATTTCATACATTTGAACCATAATGTCCGAATATTAATGCAAATTTATATGCGACTATTCATGGAAATACATTTTTCCATTTTTCATACATATATTCAGATATAGACGTACATCCTAGATTCAGACCCTCGTTTTCTTGATATTTCTCTGAAATTCAATAGGTTGTAATAAATATCGCTTTATCGAGAGCCAATTCGACACCCATTATTCTGCGCGTGAAGAAGCAATGAGAATGGTGCCGGTGCGAGACATCGCGACTGACGAACCTTACACGCTTTAACGTCGTTCGCATCGTTAGTAAAATGTTAAAGTAAATAATATACGTGGCAAGAGTTATTTAAAAAGTCAAATATAATTACGAGGTATTTAAATTAACTTAGGATACTTCGCGACGAAACGACAGGGTTTCCAATAATACTTTGGAAAATTTTGCATCACGAACCTTATTTTATACGTATGAGTTTTGTTCTTTTTGTGCTATAAAGTATGTATAACATGTGTTTGAAAACATGTGTTTATTTGTTAATTAGAAATCGTTTAATTAATTTCTCGTTCTTAACTTCTTTATTATGAATTCAATATTGTGAAAACTTATTAATTTTTTATTCTCAAATATTTTATCTATTTGTTAAATATAACCTATTTATATTTATTTATGAAATTAAAATATATTTTATTTAAAATTTTTAATAGTAAAATGTTGTTGAGATCATAAAATGTGAGGCTCAAATCATCTGATTTATTATAATAAAATAGATATATTATTATTATGTGGTATACAATGAAAGTATTAAACTTTTCATATTTGCAGTGTGTAGTACTTTTTTTTTTTAAATTAAATATGTATATTTAAATTATATATTTCATATACTTTTAACGCAATTTTATTTTTTTTTTCAGAAATTTCTTTAATTTATAATTTCAATTATTGCACAGTATCACAATCGCGATATTTTTACAATGGAATTGAATATTCTACATAGTTAGAACAGAGAATCCTTTGCTATTGTAACAACTACTTGATTTATGAACTCAAAGTGCATTGAACTTTAATGATTTATTGGAGACCATAAATCGCATAATTAACAATGTTAACAATTTCACAGGAGATATTGATGTCGTAATTATTCGGTATATTAACAAGTTTGCAAAGATTTGTCATCCAGAGACGTATATCATTATTTGCCAGTGTCGATCTCACAATCTAACTTTTGTAAGAAAGTTTCCAATTATTCAACATTATAGCAGTTCTCATAAATTGCATTTGTTTAATGGGTTATTAGATGTGACATCAAAGTCCAAGTCATAATGTGATTTAACATGCGATACAGCTACGTGCTGTAATACAAATTTCAACTCTTTATTGAAAGAGACGAAAATGTTTTAATTATCGAATATTTTTAATAATTATTAGTAATCGTTCGAATTACAAAAGTATTCGATTTTTTCGCTTACAAGGCAATTGCTTTTCATATAATTACAAAAATTACGAACGTGATAGTTGTGATTGTAGAATGTCTGCTTTATCACAGATCACTTCTACTTGCATTTAGTACTACAGACAAAGTCATTATATCACTATTTATATCACTTTTAATACTATATAATTATTAATATTTTAAAATAAGAATATTTCAAGGAACAATCATACAATTTTTCATATATTTTTATCTTTTAGTTAATAAATATTATTAATTCAAAAAATTTCTATGATATATTTATATTTCATGATACAAATGTATGCATGTTTGTGCATAAATTTTAAATCTTTTTTTCATTTCGTATTAACATAGATACTTAGAATTTGAGAAAGATTCAATTGTTAAATTGATATCCATGAAAGTTTCTCCTTTTTTATCCCGGGATCTATTCCTGGAGTCGTTGAGGGAATCGTATTTTCCAGGGAATCACGATAATCGCGTCGATAGGTCTGAGAATGTAGCTCAATTGAAACTTTTCGATGGAAATCTGTAAGCTATCTAGAGGGTTTCGTGCCGACTGGTAGTTATTATCGTACTTGGCGCGCATTGAAGAGCTCTTTTGGTGTTAATCACTCGCGTGGACTGTTTCAAACAAATTGTGGTGTAACATTCCGTACGCGGAGTTGTTCACAATTATGCGGTTCCTGGATAAAAGGAAACAATGCGGATATCTCACGGAGATAATGCAACTATAACTTTGCTCGTTTTCGTTCGGAGGAGCGTGAATTGTTAACTTCTCTTTGCAGATTAAAAGTATCGTTAAATACGAGTTTCGTGCACTCGACGATAAAACAGAGAAAATCTGGAAAAATTTCGTTGCGCTATCCAAGTAGAAACTTTATGTAACATCACGGAAGAAGCATCAACACTCACTGTCCTGTAAATGAAATAATAATATCAATGATTTTTAATCAATGAGATAAATCATAATTTTTATTATTATTATTATTATTATTATTATTACTAGATATTATATATTTGTAAGAATTTTTGTAAATATATATCCATTCAAATGAGAAATAATTTAACTTAAATGGACAACTTAATCAATCTTTAATTCTATTTAAGCTCGACAATTAATTCTTTCAGACAGAAACTTTTCATTTAAAAATGAATACAAAAGTATGATAATATAAACTATAATACGTTTAAATTAAAAAATAAAATTAAATATAATCTTGAATAATAAGTCTTATTTATACTGTAATATTTAATTCCATAAACATCTCCTAATAAATTTTAATAATATTAAAAAAAAAAATTACAAATGAGTAGCCTTTATGAAAGTTATCATAAGAATATATATTATAATTTTAAAATATTTTTTGAAACAATTCAATCGTTTGAAAATCGTTATGAAAATTCTTCTTGGAAAAATATTCTTTCTTTTATCATTTCTTTTTCTTTTTTTTAGGAACAATTGAACACATTAAAAAATTTAGCTACGCACACTGATACTACGAAATTAAGGCAATTATTATCGTGCTCGCACGCTTTCGTTACACAAGAGGCTGTGTCCTTAGGTCTTCCGGATTTCCCCTTGGACAATTTGCCGTCAGTTACTATCATAATGGTACATGCTTCCTTTTCTCTTGAACTTTGATCTACTTAACGAATTATAATACGATTAATACGGTTAATATGAATGTAACCGCAGGATAAATGTCCAAACCTGTCGGTGTTTGACATATTTTACAGGTGTTATCCGTACAAATTGTTTTTGGCGAAAGATGGTCAAAATGCTGTTGAGAGCATACTCAAAACGTTTGATGTCACAAAAATAACAACGAACGACAGTAAGATTTCAAATATTGATAAAAAAAATGAAGAGCAAAATTCGGTGAATATTAGCATAAAGTATGCTGATGATGAAATAGGTTTGAACGTGAGTAAATTGATGAAATGAAAAAGAAAAGTAAAGTATGATAAATTCAAAGATTATAATATTTCATTTGTACATTTTATACGAATAGGTTTCTTGCGGGAACAAGAAGGTAAATGAAGAAGCAAAAGGAAATAAATACGTAGAAACGAATTATCAAAATAATTTATTGACAAGTATGTTGGAATCGCATCTTGTCTCTGATTTTTGTTTAATTGGTCCGAAAGGATGTGGAAAATCTATCACTGTACAAACTTTAGCTAATTTATTAGGATACGAAGTAGAGCCTGTAGTACTTTATCAGGCAAGTACAATATTATACATTTTTTCTATTTCAACACAATCAAATTGATCAATAGCATTTTTTTCAAAAATTTTTCTTATAATATCAAAATATATTAGTCCAATTTTTTTAAAAATTAAATGAAAAAAAAAGATGAAGATAACAATTGATTTGAAATATCTTTTTAGGATATGACTTCCAGAGATTTAATACAACAACGGACGACGTTATCTAACGGTGATACAATTTGGAAAAATTCACCTCTCGTTGATGCAGCATTGCACGGTAAATTGGCTATATTGGATGGAATTAATAGAATCGATCCTAGCACGTTGGCTATATTGCACAGGTATACAAGCCTTGAAAAAATTCTTCAAAAAACTTCACAATCGAATACAAACGATATGTTATATATATTATATATTTATTTTTAGATTGGTTCACGATCGAGAGTTACAATTGCATGATGGTAAAAGGCTCATCAGGGCAGATCGTTACGACGAGATAAAGGGGAAACACGATAAATCTGACGCAGAATTGTACGAATCAGGTGTACTGCGTATTCATCCATCTTTCAGAATCGTAGCTTTGGCAGAATCGCCTATCGTTAACGCGTCCTCGAGACAATGGTTGAATTCAGAGCTACTTAGTTTGTTCCTTTTCCACGAAATGAGACCACTCACCAAATCAGAGGAGATCCACATTATTCGGACGAAGGTGTTTAACCTAATTTCTAAGCGTTACATTTAAAATTTTAATGAAACCCCTCTTTTGCATACTGATTACAAGTGGTATGTTTTAGTACGGGGAACCTTCCACGGCTTTGTTAAACATTCTAGAACTGGCGCACGTACTACGATCCTCCAATGATCCAACTTTACAATCATTGGCCAGTTCTTTGAGCACGAGGCAGCTTTTGAGGATAGCGGAGAGAATGCACAAGTTTCAGACCGACGATGCTTACAACGCGGTGCATCGCGCTTGTCTGGCTCGTTTCTTACCGGCAATAGCGAAACAAGCGTTGGAAGACTGCTGCAATCGTGTGGGCATTGTTCCAACGAAAAGCATAGTGGACGAAAACGTCAAGTGTCAAATTATCGGAAATACCGTGCAAATTGGTAACACGGTTGTCGAACGATACAACACGACAGCTTTAACGAAAGTACCTGACATTTTATTTTACGATGTGCCCCAACACGTCGCACTTTTAGAAAATTTGTTGCAAGATTTTAGTTTGGGACAACACTTGTTGTTAGTTGGAAACCAGGGTGTGGGCAAAAATAAAATTGTCGATCGATTGTTACAACTTTTAAATAGGCCGCGAGAATACATACAACTACACAGGGACACTACTGTTCAAACTTTGACCCTTCAACCGATGGTTAGGGATGGAAAAGTGGTGTACGAAGACTCGCCGCTTGTGCAAGCCGTTAAATTGGGACACGTGCTTGTTGTTGATGAGGCGGACAAAGCTCCGACTCATGTTACTTGTATTTTAAAGGTATGCTCGTATAAATTATATTCGTGAAATTTTATTCATTCATTGTAGAATGATTTTTGCTGATTTCAGACTTTAGTTGAATCTGGTGAAATGATTTTATCAGATGGCAGACGTATAGTATCTTCTTTAACTTCTAATATAGACAATTCGAATAAAATACTGCTTCATCCAGATTTTAAGATGATAATATTAGCAAATAGACCTGGTTTCCCATTTTTGGGAAATGATTTCTTTGGAGCATTGGGTGATCTGTTTAGTACGCATACTGTTGATAATCCAAGCGTTGAAAATGAGATTCAACTTTTAAAACAATATGGTCCGAATGTGGATGAAAAGATAATATTTAAATTAGTAAAAGCTTTTGGCAAATTACGAAATATGGCTGATCAAGGTCTGGTTTCGTATCCATATTCAACTCGGGAAGTTGTCAATATTGTAAAGCATTTAGAGGTGAGTTTTTATATTTCATTTTTTATTTAATCACTAATGTTTATTTATTTTTTTAGAAATTCCCTCAAGAATCTTTAGCTAATGTGGTACGAAATGTATTCGATTTTGATCGATATAGCGAAGAAACTTTTAATACTTTAGTGTCCGTATTACATGAATATGGGATTCCTATTGGAACAAATCCCGCTAATATTGCATTAGCAAAAGAGTAAGATATTTAATAAAAAAGAATAATTAAATTAGAAAAAAATTTAGTAAAATACAAGACAGAACAATTAATTAAAACAATTTTTATCTAATGTAAATATAATAGATAATAGTTTTAATGTATATTTTTATTTTTGAATGATATATTTAAAAAAATATTTAAGAAAAAAATAAAAACTAGAAAAAATATAATGTTTAATATTTTTTTTCCTTTTCCTTTACAGAATATCTTTACCAGAAAATCAAGTTAGTACTACCTGGAATTTTTCAAATGAACAAGAAGTACTACGCGTACAGGAAAAGTACATTAAATTAAAACCACCGAAAAATTTAATACAAAAGTTTTTACCTTTAGACCGCGTTGAAGCTAGATCAGCTTTATTTACTGAATTACAAAGTTATTGGACTGTACCACTTAATAATATTAGTGTAGTAGCAGGATTAGCAATTACTAAAGGTACAAAAAATGACGGGACGGATGATATAATTAATGTTCTTACTACAAATCCATTAAAAATCTTTAGCATAAATCAAGAATCGGATAAAATTCAGGAAACTTTATTATATGGATTAATAAATTACGAGGAAAGTAACAGTCTTCGATTTACAATGGCGACTGATAACAATCAAAATATTTTACTACATGAAGAAATAGTAAGTATTTTTAAGTTAAATCAATTTTTTCTTATTACAGTCATTATAAAATATATTTGTTTTCAGAATAATGTTTTATTATTATTGAATTTAAACGAAGGAACTGTACGGAAAATAGAAATGTTATCTTTCTTTGATGCAACATCAAATAAAATAACAAATGCTTTGAAAAATATGAATATTCGTCGAAAGATGAAACCTGATTTGTTGAAGTCTCATAATCAAATCGTTTTTTATAGCTATAATTCTAACAAAATAGAACTGATAGATTTAAATTTCATGTGCTTTTACACGATTAATTTACCATTTAAGATACAATCAATTTTACTTCCATCAGAAAAGAAGTGGTTAATTGATGACACAGAGAGAAACAAATATATTCTTAAAAAATCCACGTATTCGTCTCCCTGTCCAAATATTTTGCTAAAAGTAGAAGAATCTAGTAAACATAATTTCAAAATTGATTCATTTCTTAACTGCACTAATAGCAGTTTGAATAGTAATTTACTTAGTGCAGCACTGAAACAGAAAATAGATTCTCCAAATCGATTGCTTGTGAGTGACAATACTTATGCCAATATTGCTGTTGGATTTCCTGATTTAGATAGTTTTAATGAACTTTATTCTTGGCCAAGAGCAAAATCTAGTAATAATTTCACTCCTACTATTTCTATGGATAATGGACAAATTGTTAAGGTAGTTACACCTCAAGAAGTTCCTGATGAAGTTTTTCCAAAGACAGGACAAAATTACGGAATTGCTCGTTATTTGGAAATTGTTGATATTGTAAATCATAAACTACGTTATATACCTGTACCAGAGTAAGTATTTATGATTGCATTTAATATTGAATAATTATCTTTTATTTTATTTATACTTATCAAATTTATTATTTATATTTTTAGACCAGTTAACATATCTCAAATGATTCGATTCATATATCCAAATAAATATTTTTTACACATTTCACCTAAATCAAATCAGGATCTTGTAACAGTAGATATAGGTGGTTGCGTTCGCCTTTGGGAAACGTCATTAGTAAATATTGAAAAATCTCTTGGAGCTTGGCGAAAAATGGTGGGAGATGATAATGAAAATTTGCAAATTACAAAAGAAAGATATTCTGGCTTAGATGTTAGTGGTCCTAAACATGGTAAAATCGACGAGAAAAATGAACCACATGTTGGAGGCAATACATGGGCAGGAGGAACCGGAGGTATAATATATAATGCATAAAATATGAAACCAGGATTGAAATGTGAAAATTTTAGGAAGAGACACAGCAGGTCTTGGCGGAAAAGGTGGACCTTATCGTTTAGATGCTGGTCATACAGTACATCAACTTAGTGACGAAGAAAAGAATGCGGTACCTGAACATATTAAAAAGGCAGCGAGAGAAATGGGTCTCAAAGTATTTCAACAGCGTTTAAGAGAAATTAATATGAGTGAATATGATCATCAACTTTATTCCCAGTTTAGTAATGCTGTTCAGAAGGAAGTTCAAGCGTTAAGAACTATAATAGGTTAATATCTAATCATTTTATAATATTTTTTTATAAAATAATCAAAAATATATAAAATTTAGATAGACTTTAATATGTTACTTGAATTAAATATTATTATTTCGAGGAATAATTGAATTATACTTAGAAAATATCTATTTTAAAAGACTCAAAATATTTTAATTGTATTTTATAGATAGTTTACAAGCCAAAAGTAAAGAACGTCAATGGTGCAGGCACCAAACTTCTGGTGAGTTAGACGATACTAAATTAATTGAAGGACTAACTGGGGAAAGAACAATTTATCGAAGAAGGGCAGAAAAAGAACCCGAACTTGGTGTTCCACCGTCAAAATCGAAACGTTTAAAATTAGTGGTGGATGTTTCTGGTAGTATGTATAGATTTAACGGATACGACGGGCGTCTTGATCGAGAGATGGAAGCTTGCATTATGGTAATGGAGGCATTTAATGGATATGAAGGAAAATTTCAGTACGATATCGTTGGTCATTCTGGTGATGATTATGGTATCGTTTTCGTAAATCACACTCACCCGCCAGTAAATAATAAACGTAGATTAGAAATAATAAAGGTAATAATAGTTAAGAAATGCTTCAATTAAATGAAAAGTATATTATTACAAAGGGAGTAATTTTTTTTAGACGATGCACGCACATTCACAATTTTGCATGTCTGGTGATAATACTTTAGAAGCAACGCAACATGCAATTGCAAATTTAGCAAAAGAAGACGCTGATGAATGTATTGTTGTTGTACTTTCGGACGCTAATTTTGAACGTTATGGTATTCGACCTGAGATATTTGCAAAAATTCTTACATCAAACCCGAATGTTAATGCTTTTGCTATATTTATTGGATCCTTAGGAAATCAAGCTTTTAGGTAAGCACATATTTTTTAATATTCAAATAAGAATAATAATAATTTAAAATAAAAATAAATGTTCATATATTCGATTTTAAGTTTAACCAAAAAAATAACTGCGGGACGTGCATTTGTTTGTATGGATCTCAAGGATATACCTCGAATCTTGCAACAAATATTTGCTGCTTCATTGTTAAGTACTACACAATCAAGTTAATGTATTATTAATGTACTATAACTTGTACTTTTATAAATATTTATAATTGTGAATAATTAAGAAATATATTATAATTTAATTTAAATATACATCTATGATGTTATCATTATTATTAATCTAATTTTATTATGTTTTTTTGTAGTTAATTTCAAAATATACCTACAAATATATCAATAAATATCTTCTTAAAAGATGTAAAAGATATAAAATATTATATCAAAATATCAAATATTGCATTTGTTACATTTGAATATTTGTTATAAAAATTTTGAAATACGAATCTTGCCGAAATTAACCGAAAGTTTACGAAGTATTCAAAAGCATATATATCGAGATATAATATTCGATTATGGTATTATAAATACCATCAATATAAAAGAGTTTAATTAAAATGCATCATAATACATGAAATTTGTTATAAATATAAAAATAGAAGAAAAATACCTTTCTAAAGAACAGCATTTTCGTCAAACAGTTTGTAAAATGATCCAAAAAGATTTTCAAAATCATCAGGAAATGGTGCACATTTAAAAAAAATATATATAATTCACACGTTGAATTAAAATATACATATTTCCACGTGTTCTCACTTTAAAAATTAGAATACATCGTGTAAAAAGGATTGCAGTGTGCGCGCATCTCTAGAAGTCAGGGGGTGACAGAGTTGCCAAAAAATTGGGGGTTACGGAACGAACCGAAGTTAGCCGAAGGTTGTCGAGATGAATCGAGAGAATCGAGTGGTGTGGGGCGTATATTTGTTAGTCGCACGCCGGTCGTTGAATGGAGCGGGTGTGGAGACGTGTACAAGGTGCCGGGCGTCGCAGTGCCACAGCTCGCTGTGGTTGCCCTGTACAGCCTTGTCAGCTGCACGTGGATCAACGCGCGAAACGAGGAGGCGGTCGGAAATCTCGTGGTGGACCGCAGACAATTGTGTGTGGTTGTCAAGTGCAGCCATGTCCGGTACATCCGGTACTGATAAGGGTTCGTCGTACTCGACCCGGGGTTGGCAACTGTGACTGTCCACCGGAATCACAACCTTGTCCGCATGTAGCGCGTACATCGGCTGTACGGCGGATTCGAAGGTAAATAGACAATATTATAAATTGTTTCATCTTCTTTCCTTTAATATCTTTTGTCTTTTTCTTTTTATTATTCTCCATTGTTCTTTTGCTTGACACATTCGTTACGATCCATTATAATTTAAGGGGTGGAAGGAACGAAGATCAAAGTAACTATGTGTTAATCGTATTTGCGAAGCTCGTAATGGCGCGAATATAGTTAACCTGAAACCTTTTTTTAAAATGATTGGTAGAGAATGTAATATGTCCGTAGTTAACAATACAAAAGTGAATGAAGAAATTAGGCATTATATATATATTGGTAAAAAAAAGAGAGAGAAAGAAAGGAAATTGATATATCGAAATACTTTCGCGATTTTATTATGCCAGATAAATGTAAGGTTATCGATTAGATCGAATAGATATCTCGAAAGCGATTGGTCGAAATAAATCGAATCCTGTTGCATTCATAGCTTCATATTCTACAGGTAGCTTGCTAGAAAAGTGCTTCGATCTTGTGTTTCTTTATTTCAAAATAATACGTTGAAAAGAATTTCTGTTGGTTTTTATTATAAGAAAATCATTTCAAGAATTGGAATAGTTTTACGAACAGTATATGTGTATATTAATAAAATTTAAAATAGTAAAATTTGAAATAGTGTTATAATCAAGGTTTAATGGAATACATATTGTGTGTTATATATATAATATATAATTTATATTTATGAATATATAATATATATTTACTGATAAATGTGAGTATATATCTATTTGTCATAAATTAATATGAATCAATTATTAATAAAAATATTTTGTTTTATAAAGTATATATATGTATATATATATGTATGTGTGTGTGTGCGCGCGCACATGTGTATAATATATAAATTGGCATATATTTCATATTTATTATTATTAATTATTATTTATTAATTATTATTTATCAAAAAAGAATTAGATTTTGTATTATTATGACATATATTATTATATATATATTATTTTTAATAATATTTTTTTGTTCTTCAAATAGAAAATTTTAAAATGATTTAGAGATTTTTTAATTTATTAAGAATAATATTTCTTAATATTATTATATATTATTATTATATGAATCATTATCTTTTATTATTTCAGCAAGATATTCATATATTTGTTATTACAAAACAATTACAAATATAAAATTTATATTTATATATAAATAGTTGTCTCAAAGTGTATCTCATTGAATTTTTTCAAAATTTTTTTATATAATTTAAAATTGTGCTTAAAGATAAAGTGTATTATTGTAAGTATATTAGATTTTTATATAATATTATGTAGACAAATTAAGAAAAATCTAATAAGTTAATTTCTTTATTCTTTTCTTTAATTCATGAATATAAATTATAAATCAATAAATATCGTTCTTTTTGTGATTTATTTTCAGAAATATGATAATAAAAATACGTTAAATTTAATCGTACATCATGGACATAATTATAGATAGAATGAAATGTTCCAAATCAAGTCTATATTCGGCAGGATGAAATAAAATTCGGTCAGGTCCATTTAGGTTACAATAGATATCTGACAGATCATATTTCTGATTACGTGAAAAGCCAATAGCATTTGGTGGATTTATCTAGGCTAGTATGAACCGAGTTAGAGAGGACTGGACATGACAGAAACCATTGAAGCTCAACATGATTCAGTAGGGATATAATATATCCTGGTACAATATGATTCGAATGGTCCAAAATTCGGTAGGATTCAACCAAAGTTGAAAGAAAAATTAATAGTCGTTAAATTCAAAGAAATTTACACCGTGTTGATCGTGTTACGAGGGAACATTTAGGATTTAGATGGATCTAGGTAGTACATGAACTCAATTATTAATGTTTGAATAGGATTCATGAATTATCGGTGTTATAAATCAAAGGTACATATCTTCGTGAATGAAAATGAAAATGAAACATAAATATTTAAATTATAATTACAATTGAATTTAAAATTGTGGAAAATTTCGTTTTTTAGATTCAAAATTTCAGAATTTCTCATTTCAAATCCTTTCTTTTTTTTTTTTTAGAGTTATTCTATAAAATTAAAATCTCTTTAGCGGTAAATTAATATATTATTATTTGAACTTGAGAAATTTATTCATTATATATATATTTTTTTATTAGTAATAATAAGGATTGGATTAAAGATATGCAAAAACTCTCTGTTCAGCTTCAAATTTCTCCAACAAGAAGCAGTGATCCTTACTTTTGTACATACATATATATTATTAAGAACAGCAAAATAAGCATACGTTTATTTTGCATTAAATCTCATTAAAATCTCTATACGATCCGATGAAAAAATAATCAAACATTTAATCATTTTTACAAATTAAGATCTCATGATCATCCTGACTAATAATTTGTTACGTGTGTCATAAAGTTTCAAATCCAATTTAAACCCAATCAATTTCTCGTTACGTTACGTATTATATAATGATCAAACAATTTCCATCACTTTTCGATATACCGAAAATGAAATAAAATATTTTTCTATGAATATTCTTTCATTCATACGCGTATAATTTAAAAACATTCTTTTTTTATTGAGATTCACGGATTCACTCGCATAACATTTGCGGGCCCAATCGATCCAATTTCGTTACTTCCGCATCGCCAAACAAACCAAACCAACTTGCATCATTCACCACTGAATATTCAATAAACCTTCCATTCTATCCTTTCCACAGATGTGACTGTTCGGAGCGACCTTGTCGACACTCGGCGGCAGGCGGTGGTACGCGGCATCGAGTGTCGGTGCAACCCTCTTCACCCAGTTTCTCTCAAGCGAGCCAGTCGAACCAACAGCCGTGCGAGTGCGCCGAAAGAATAAACTGCACCCACACAAGCGGCGAGTGCGAGTGCGGCGAGGAAGCAAAGCCGTGTTCGCACACGGTCAGGCAACGCAGGTCCCGTCGCACGTGCGATTGCAGTGGAAGCGGGTCGCAACCGTGCAGCCATAAACCGCAGCACGAGGGTAGAATAAAGCGTGTTAAGTGTCGCGTGAGGCGCGCCGGTTGCGCTATGGCCAGGTGCACGGCGGAACTCGCGATGCTGCACCTGCATTGGGGTCTCGCCACCGAGTGTGCCCCCTGCAGGCCCCGTGCGCTCACGCGACGGCTGTGCAGGAGGCAGCAAAGCGACAACGAGCTATACAGGAGCAACAGTTTCAAATTTGAACGGTTCGAGAGGAGCAAGGATGAGTGCGCGACCCCTCTACGGAAACAGGTGAGTACCTGTTGCCTTGTTCTGGTCACAGATTCGCGCCAATATTGGCTTGCGAAATAATTTATCGTATTTTCTATCGTCTCGAGACAAATATACCTTATTCATTCATCTTAAACGAGTTTTGGATACGCGTGGATAAAGATCCGTGCGGAATTACTAAGGTCTCTTGGGTTTTTGTAAAATTTAACCTACTAATGCCTAGAATATTTGAAACTGTGCTAACAAGATGTAACGTTGACTTTTTAATGGGCTTGTGCATGATGCGGGACAGGTCTTAAATAAGTGAAACTAGTATCCAATTTTGAGGACAAATGATTTGAATAGTTTATCAGGTATTTAAGGTATAGAATAGAAGTTGATGGTTATAGATCTAGTAATGGGATTATGTATAAACTGATCTATACTTTTCGTTTCAAATCTATTTATATAGATATTTTTCAAACTATAAACTTGTTTTTTCACTCGGTTTTCTTTTGAATCGAACATTTTAATTTCAATTATTAAGCTTGGATATTTTATTTAAAAAACTAAAAAATTCATTGCACATCTTCTGTTGAGATTTTCGCGTTCTCTTGTAACAAGCATACAACTTTCCTTACCTTCGAATGACCACTTCATTTGGAATATTTTTTAATCGAGAAGAAGTGGCGTTAATTCACATCAATTATACTTTATTCATGTACACGGAAATGCTTTCTTTCATTTATAATGAACGTAACAGGCCGAGCTTTTCGCTTCACTTCTTTGAAATGTATGCATTCGGAATAATGGCATTGTAATATGTATAATGGAAATTCTCTGTTATTCGTTAGGTATAAGCCACTCATAATATTAAAAAAAACATGTTTGTATCCTTTGTTCGTTCTCTTTCGACATTTTATTAATTAAATCGTTAAAACAATTACGCCCCGCGTCTGATCAACAAATTCCACCAGTATGCGATACTTTATTTTCAAGTCTCATTGTCCATTGAAAACCAGTGAGTGAGTTTCCCATACACGTGTTTCGACCTATTACTTTAATTACCGTAAAAATTCAACGATCCAATTTACAAGTATTGGACTCCGTTTGTTTTTGCACAAAATTATATACCGGTCAAGTAGTCGAAATCTTTGTCAACCGAAAGTAGCTTTGTTAAACGAAGACTTAGCTCACCTAAGAGCCCTGTAGAAAGCAGTGGAGCTAGAACGAGTTCTACTTTGAGAACAGCTTTAAGTTTGACCTCCCTTTGAGAGCGGTAGATATGGTATCCCACTTTGAGGGTAGACGAGTATTTGCGGTATACGCTTCACTGCCAATTGCGGTACATCGTTTTTCATTTGTGCATTGCTGTTTGTTCGTATTAACGAGGAAAAAAAAAGGGAAATACCTGTACCGAAATTTATGTACATTAGGAGCATGAAAACACCAGGTCGTTGGAAACCTTGAAGTTCCATCAATTGTGTAATGAATACAATTTATTGACGGTATTGGTTGGTTGGATATCGATCACTTTTTATTAGAAATTGAACAGCAATATTTCCTTTCACGAGATACGCAATCACGATCCGTATCATTGCTCGCCTTTACCTTTTCTTTGAATTCTTCTATCTTTTATCCCCTTTTTTCTTTTTTGGAGTGGATATTTGAACATCGTAGCGAATCTATTAATATTCGTCCATCTAAAAATATCACATAAACTGTTTATGTAACGTCTTAATCCAACGGTGGTATATTAATTGATATAAATAAATGATAATATCCAGAGATTATTTATTTATTAGTGTTATATGATTATTGTATCATTCTTCAAATCAAACAAAAATTAAATATATATATATATATATATACATCATAGGTGTTTTCCATATATTCTTCGAAAGATTAGATCAAATATGAGATCAGTTACTACACGATTTTTGTATCATTTCGATTATTTTCTAGTAATAAAAATCTTTTCGATGATTAATCGAAAGATGAAGATGAACATACTCGAAAGTTTTGTTCCTACGAATCGAATTTTTATCAATGCAATTGAAATTTTTCGAAACAGTGGTCGAACGAAGATCGACGTACGTTAAAGAAACCAGTATTTTAAACTTTTATTGTGCAAAACGCGTCCTCAGGCGAGGGGAAGATGAAGATTGCACCACTGTGATGGTATATCGGATAAGACGCTTCCAGGGATTCTATCCCTGAAAAGAGAATTTAAATTGAAGCAAGATGGAGTTACACCAAGTTCGTGAATACGAAACAGTCGAAGCATGCTGCTTTTATGATATTCACCGACTGGAAGAGGGGGTTTCTTAAATGGATTTCACAGACGTGGTGATACCACGCCGTTGAAATTTCCTGCAAGCGATGGATGCAGGTTACACGGTTACACGGGCGGAAAACTTTTGCAACGTTATACTCGATATCGAATAACGAACAACGTTGAATATTTGTGACGTAGATTCTCGTTTATTTCCAAGAATCGAAGTACCTGGAAATTATTTTTCCAAGAGAGAGAGAGAGAGAGAGAGAGTTAATAAAATGGTAGGAAAAGATAAAAAGATATTGGAAGTGATAAAAATAATAGTATAAATGGAAAAATTGTTGTTATATCATTAATATTTATTCATGTATACGGTTGTTGTTTAGTACGAAATAATAGTTTATAATTTCCTTTCAGATGTTGGCTTATATGCGTGTCGAAACTACGGCAGTAGTATAATCGAATTTAGTCAGACATTAGATATTACTCGAAGTATAACAGTTATATGAGTTATATTATATAGTTAAATAATTCTCAATTAAGATTGTTTGTATATGATTCTTCATTCTAAAATTTTCATTTCTATAAAAATTTCTAAAATTTATTCCTTCGAATTTTTTTTTATTATCTTTCATTTTTCAATTTACGTAAATTGAGGAGCGTGTAAATAAATTTTTGATAACTACATCAAGCGATTAGATTAATGTAAATAAAAGAGATTTTATTTTAGAGCATGTCACACGTGAAATGCTCGGTGACAAAGATATTAAAACGCTCGTTTTCAGATGAAGGCATCCATGTTTGAAAAATTGCTTAACAGCTATGGAATATAGAATATATGGTAATACGATTGACGTTTGCGATACCAGAGAATCGGTATAAAAAAAAAAAAAAAAATAGACAGAACAGTTATTGGAGAATCTTTTTGTCTTCCATGTATTATATGTGCTTCGTTTCACTGTTTGGTTCGAATATATGTTTCATCCTATCTTTGCAACGACTATCATCAAACTCGTTATTGAGGGTTATTATTGATTATCTCTTTCAACAACAGAGAATGTTTCTAATCATATTTTTAAACAATAAGTAATAAAATATACAAAGAATTTATTCAACAGATTCGTGGAATATCTTTGAAGAATTTTTAATTAAAACAAACTCAAAAATTGATGCACAAAAATATTTGTTGAGCCTTATTTATCAAGTTATAAGCATTTGAAATTTGCGTTAGATGAAGCGAGATGGAAAGAGAGCGAAACTGTTCTGTCCCTGTTAAACTATTGTCACCCTCTATTTTTATTTCGTTTCATTCAATCCAATCTCGATAACGTAAATCTCAAAAGAAAAGGTAAAATCTTTGAATAGGAGTTTTGTTTTATCGGTTTTTTTTTATAATAAGAGAGGGTTTAACAAATAAAAATTCGACTCACAGAAGTTTTATTCAGAGATTAATATTTTTCAACTTGTAAAAAAAAAAAAACAAATTTAGATATCACTTCAAAAATAATTAGAGATCAATTTGATTTATACGCAAATATGTATTTCAATTTGCAGAGTTTAAAAGTAAATTTAAATTGAAATTATAGAAAATAAAATAACGCACTTAAGCGCGCGAATAAAAATTTAAATTCATATCTCGATTTTGAAATATTTTCACATGATATTTTCACGTTGAAGTAAAAATTAACAAAATTATTATTCTTTCCAGTTCTATTCAATAAGATTTGATAAGAGTATAATCGAAATACATATCTTATTGAGAGTTTCGTAAAACGAAAAGATTTTTTTTTTAATTAATCGTCTCTTAATTAATCCACCTCAAAGCAGAGAAAAGTGTGTCTTTTTTTGCTGAGCATTTGCATTTAACTTGGACTCTCTGACGATGGTACTCCTTGCTCTATATGCGCGTTACATATATACGTATAAAGCTTTTCAACCAATCTCAGTTTACTGTTAAGCTGTTTGTGTATGTGTGTGTGCGTGGTAATATATTTGCAATAGAATTTTTATTCCTTCTGGATGGCTTCTTGAAACATGAAACACGTATAACGAGAGGATGGTGGCGCCTACTTATGCTGCTAATTATCCGTGTGCTCTTTATTTCTGGGTGCCAAAGTGCTCTTCTCAAATATCATTTAACTTCTTGTTCCGGAAAGGGTGAGAACGGTCTGAAATGATCCATTCAACCGCATTCGTGTCGTGAAAAGAGAACATTTTCATTGATTTTGTGAATAAAACTTTAGAAAATTCAGTTGAATCTATACGGATGTGTAGATGATTTATATTAATGAATTTTCCGAATCGAACAATTATTTTCTTCGTATTAAAAATTGTCTATTGAAGTAGACATATAAGAAAATTACTTTTTCAAATTCATTTTACGAAATATAGATACATATAATCTCTCCTTTGATATTAAAGATCATTTTTTAACGGTTCTAGAGAGTTACCAAATTTAACAATAAACATGCAAGTTTTATGTGGCGTATTTAACATCAATTGTACAGCTACATCAAGACTTGATTGATATATTTCTGTACGAAATTTTTCTCTATTCGATCAACTATTATAAAGAAAATAGATTTATATATACATATCATTGCAGACAATAACTTTTGCAGACCGTAATTTATATCTTCAATAAATTATTAAAAAATTGACAATACAACAAAATATCAATATCCTTCAAAATATCACGTACGTGTTATCATAAAAGAAGGAAAATAATCGAATCGACGAATCTTTTCAATTTTTTTAGCATTGT